CCTCTGCGCCCTGGGGCCCAGGTTGCCCCAGCGGCCGTTGACGCAGGGAGCCTCGTCGGCGCTCCGCACGGGGGACTGCGAGCGGTACTCGCGCGTGTCGGGCACCAGCGCGGGCGGCGTGGCGCTGATGGGAGACGGCCGGGAGTTCAAGCTGGGGCTCAGCGGAGCGCGGCCGCTGGGCGCCTGGCTGAAGACCACGACGCACTGTCCCACCTGCAAGAGGGCGAGGAGAAAGAGCAGGGTCAGCAACCGCAGGGCGCCCCTTTTCCCTGGGGAACAGCGAGCGGCTACGGAGCGGTTGGGACAAGCAAGATCCACTAAGGTAGGAGAGAGACCGGGATGGCAACTGCCCCGCGGGACCAAGCGCTCCAGCGCCTTCGCTCTTACCCTGCAAGCGGGATGGCACCACAGCTCCGGCGCGCCGTGGTCCTCGTTCTCCACCTTGAGCGCCTGCCACGTCCAGGGGTTCGTCCGCATGTGCAGCAGCCAGGCGTCCTTGAAGAGCTGCGGGGACAGGCGAGGCGGGCTGAGGAGCCCTGCTGCCCACTGCACCTCCCCGTCGGCGCGGGGCAGCGGGAAGGCAGTTTTGCAGCGGCCTCGCTGCACACAGAGGACTGGTGACCTAGATTGGGATCTGGAAGCGGAGGAGCGACTACGCCTTGCTACGGGTACGGCCAAGTCGCTTCATCTACATCTTCTATCCCATTAGCAAATCAGGGCTAATTCTTCTGAGAGGCAATTAACCTCGGTGAGCTGCTCAGATAGTGCCCGGGGCGCTTTTTATTAATTAAAGGCGGCTCTAGCTCGAGCGACAGCTTTGCTGGGAAATCTAGCACGGGCGCCTGGATGGGAAAAACGGTGACTACGAAGCCCCTGGCACCCCGGGGCCATGGCCCAGGTAACACTGCTCCTCCCCAGGGCCCTGCAGCGCAGCGAGAGTCCTGCCCTGCTGTACTCACTGCGTTGGGGCCACCGCAGCCGCCGAGGATTAAGATGGTTTCGTCATCTATTACAATCTGGAGGGGAGGCAAAGAAGAGCGTTTCAGGACAAGCAGGGTGCAGGGCTTCTCGGCAGCATCGACAGGGGCGATTTTTGCCTGCCCCGACACGCAGGGTGGAGCTGGGACACGGAGCCGGTTTGGCGGGGCCCAGGGCGAAGCAGGGTTCGCGGCCGGCGCTCCAGGCTCTCCTCCGCGCCCCGACCTGCTCGTGGAGCTGCTCGCAGTCCCCGGCGGGGCGCGGGGTCCCCACACCGCGGCTCCCGGGCCTTGCGCCTTGGCCACCAGCAGCGGACGGCCCCGCGAGCTGCGCCCCGAGGCACCCGTCCCAGCAGCTGCTGAAAATTATGTGGAGCTGATGGAGAGAGTCCAGCGCAGGGCCACCAGGATGATCAGGGGCCTGGAACATCTGCCCTATGAGGAGAGGCTGAGGGAGCTGGGCCTGTTCAGCCTGGAGAAGAGAAGGCTGAGAGGGGATCTAATCAGTGTATATAAATACCTCAAGGGAGGGAGTGCAGAGGACGGTGATGGTCTCTTTTCAGTGGTGGCCACTGATAGGACTAGAGGTAATGGCCACAAACTGAAGCACCAAAAGTTCCACAGGAACTTAAGGAAAAATGTCTTAACAGTGAGGGTGCCAGAGCCCTGGAACAGGCTGCCCAGAGAGGTTGTGGAGTCTCCTTCTCTGGAGATCTTCCAAACCCGCTTGGACGCAGTCCTGTGCCACGTGCTCTAGGTGACCCTGCGTGTGCAGGGGGTTGGACTAGATGATCTCTAGAGGTCCCTTCCAACCCTAAGCATTCTATGATTCTATGATTCTATAGGGCTTTAAAGCCCATCGCAGCCTCACACCGAGCGCTGGCGCCTGCAAGGGGGAAACCGGCTGCGATGGCGACGCCTGCACCGAGCCAGGGCGCTCCAGAAGGCTCAGGGCGCCGGGCAGGCAATGAACAGGCCCTGCGAGGGGACAGTGCCAAGTCACCTAGGACAAGACATCAGAGTAATTAAGAGGGCACCAACACGTGACACTATCACTGGAGCTGCCCAGGCTGATGTTGGCTGCTTTTTGCCCTAACGGGTGCAAAGCCCAGCGATCTGGGTTCTGGCAGTGCTCGTTACGCCGCTGAGTCACACGCAGGACCCGGCACAGTAGCGACCTGAGCGTTAAGGAGGCTTCAGAGAACGACCTCACCAAATGAACGGCTAGAAAACATAGGCCTGGCAGGCAAAGACAGCAAAGATAACTTGGAAATTGGACAGTAGCTTTCGGGAGAGCTGCAGGGGGCGGCTTGGAAGCTGGAAAGCAGCCAGACAAGGTTTAATCTCTGGTTTCCCCCTGGCAGCGTGTGCTGGCTGCGGAGCGGAGCGCGCCAAGGAGAACGTTACCTGAGACTGGCCGCCTCGCGGGTGAGGGCTGGGCCCGGAGATGCTGGGCTTGGACCAGGCCCACTGCTCGAGATCCAGCACCCACACGTCGTTGCTCCTGCAGGGACGAGACAGCAAACACTGAGCTGCGGGCGCAGGCGCTCGCTTCCCCGCCGGCTCCCAAATGAGCAGGCGGATGCAGCGCTGCCCTGGTTCCTGGTGATACCGCTCGTGCAACGCGGCCCTCGGGGCGCCCAAAATGCTGGTTTAGGGTAGATCCTCCCTGCCAGAACTGTGCTCCCTGTGGGCTGATGCCTCAGGGGATTTCCAGGTGAGCAGTGTGACAAATCAGACCCTGGAGCTGGCCTGCAGCGAGCATCACCCATCCATCACCCTTGATACCGAGGGTGAGCGGAGAGGGTGGGAATCACAAGTGGGGAAAGCAGCAGTGAGGAGGGCTGCCCCGAAACACGTGGCAGCCCTGAAACAAGTGGCAGCGAGCAGGGCTGAGCAGCGTGACGCGACCAGGCGCCCTCCGGCCGAGCTCACATTTGCCGAGAGCCCAGCGAGCCCCCGAAGACGATCATTTTGTCTTCGATGACACAGGAGGAGTGTCCCGCCATGGGAGGGGGGCCGTGGGTGGTGACGATGCAGTTCCACCTGGGAGGAGAGAGAAGGAAACGCTGACCATTAAATGAGAAAGGGAAACAGGAATGAACGGCTGAAAAAAACCCAAGCCCCAAATCCCACAGGCCAGCAAAGTCCTCAGGAACGTGGTACATAGGAAAACCTCGGGCAAGGCCAGCAGAGGGACGAAACTCATCAGAAATACTAATGTGCCTCGCATTTTTAAGGCATGACAAAGTCACAAGGCCAAGCTGGAAATCTCGCCCCTTTCAATTAAGCGGGCCCTGAACTATTTCCATGTAGCTTAATTACAGCGTCCGCAAGTCGCTGCCCCAAGAGCGCGTTGGGTAATTGACCCTTGTGATGATTAAACACACTCGATGAAAGGGAAGCAAAATTCCTTGCCCTTTTGATAGCACATTGGCTCCTTTCTCACACAGAGAGGAGTGGAAGCGTGAGGTCTAATAGCAGCAGAACGGTGTCTAAAATGGTACAGAAAATTCCTGCATCTCCTTGGCCACTGCTGGATACGTTCTGAGGCTAGGAGCTGTAATGGCAAAAAACTTTCCAAAATGGCATAGACAACTGCTTTATCATTTTCCCCTTGAAGTGGAATTTGGACCATCAGCAAAAGCAAAACCCACAGCAGTTGAAGGTTTCATCTCTTATTTTCCTCAAAGACCTCAAGCAAACAGCCCCATAAATTACATATTTTAAGTGCACACATCCAAGACTTCCTGCCTGGCTGGAAAATGTTCCAGAAAACACTTGGGGAGCCTGTAATATTTTGTGTATGGTTTCAGAGGAATACGGAAGTAACCGAGAGGGCTCAGACGGCATCGTGCTCAGCTCTCCAGGGCTTGGCCGCAATGCCGTGCATTTTTGTTTGCTTTAAAAACAGATCCTTGGACATGCCAGGGTTGGTGACACTTAGGAAGCCAAGGATGTACATCCAGGTGAGCACAGGGACACCCAAGGGCATCTCCTCGCGTGCGCTTCAAAGGGAGACATCCGCGTCCTCACCAGTTTTTGGAGGGCGAGTAGGTGTGGATTTCATCGAAGAACCTCTCGGGCTGGTGCAGGGGGTAAGGGCTGGGCCGCGTCCACCCGCCGAAGAGCACGAGCAGGTCCTTGTAGACGACCAAGGTGGCCCCAGCCTTGGGCGAGGGGTAGGAACCTGAGCAGGGACAGAGAAGCGGAGAGATGAGGACACGGCCGCCGCGGGCGCCGAGCTGCGCGACGACGCGGAAGCTCCCCCTCGCCAAGACGAGGAGAGGGAATCGAGTCGGGAGCCTGGGAAGAAAAACTCCTGCCAATTTGTGTCAATGTAATTAGCAGCAGCCTGAAAGCACGTTTCACGTATGGCAAAACATCTGTCAGTCACCGGCAGGAAATTACTAGCTTTCTAACATCCCCCTTGAAATTACTGCCTTAGCGTGGGATAAAAGCAATAATTACTCCCCGAACGCCTGCTAACGTCTCCTCGAGGAAGCAGCGGCAGCGGGCGCCGTTTCCAGCCCGTCATGGCCCTGCCACGCGACACGCGGCGTCGCAGCCGGCGCCGCGGGATCTCGCTGTCCGGAGACGCTTCTCGGGCCACAGCGCATCGCTCCTCTGCTCGTTTTTAAGGGATTTACGCCTGTCTCCTCCTAGGTTTGGCGGTCTTGGGCATCCCAGGTTGTCCCCCTGCTCAGGCCAGGCACTTTTGAGACTGCAAAGATACCTCCCCAAAACGAAACCTCCTGCAGCTGAAGATGCTGCATCACGATCTCCCCGAATAGACGGTGTGGAGTTTGAGATGTTCTCACTCGCTATTTTTAAAAGCGCCCGGAGCGGCTATTTTGGGATGCAGCCTCCGAGAAAAGTGGTTTGCTGGGGATGGCTCCAGGCGGGGGGTGTCCAAAGCCCAGGCCGGAGCATCCCCCATGCAGCTGCAAGGGGAGATGCCAGCGGAGCCCCCGCTGCCCTGCCTCGCTCTGGGCACCGAACACATCCTGATGCTGCTCCGGGGACACAGCTACAGGGAAGAACAGGGAATAAAACCATCCAGGAAACCCTCCTTAGGCTATCGATGTGCTCTGGTACACCCGGAATTTGAGACAAGGTCTCCTTAAAGATGAAAACACCAGAAGAGGGTCACGCTGGGTTACTCCTTGTCAGGTTGAATTTTCCTGGTTCGTTACACGGCTCAAAAGCATCCGCCAGGACAGCGAGAAAAGCAACCGCACGAGCGCCGTGAGCGCAAGGTCAGCCCCTGCCTCGGACACAGCTCCCTGGAGACTCCGGAGCAGTTCTGAGACAGTCCGAGGTAGAGGATAGGCCTGTTTTTTCCCAATAAGTTTTGCGTAATATTGGCTGTTGCACAGGTGTAAGCAACAGCAAAGCTTCACTCCGCTTCGCTCGTGAGAAATCTCCGCTTCAGGAGCAAACGTTTGCTTTCTAAAGCTACATCCTTCCCCTCTGCTGCCCCGCGAGACACGGTATCTGCGCGGTTCAAAGGACGCAGAGTCACGCGTGGCCCTTGGGAGGCTCCGTCTCTGCAGAGCTGCTCCCGGAGCGCTCGGACGGGTGCAGTACCTCGGTGCGAGACACCCTGGTGCAGGATGAACTCGTCCCATCAGAGATGACCTGACCTCCTCCGTCTTTGGCTTCAGAGGAGGCACGCTGGACGGAAAACAGGAGAACCAGCACCTCCAATTCCGCTTCAAAGACGGGAGCAGAGAGGTGCTGGGGCCCTGGAGCAGATCCCTGGAGGAGCAGGAGCGGCCAAAGCGACGGCAGGACGAAGCCTTTGCAACGCGGTCAAACGGTGCTGGTTACAGCCAGGGCCAGCGGCAGAGGCGCTCGGCAGCCTGGAAAAACCTGCGCTTGGCTTTGGTGGATCTGCTCCGGACTCGGGACTGCCCTAAGGTTAAGGGTGTGTGGACCCAAGCTGAGCGCTTCGGCCTCCACAACGAGCACTGCTGTCCCTGCAGCTTCGGGAAGGCAAAGGGCATCTCGGGGAAGCCGGAGCAGCGAAACGAGACAGAGCAAAGGCCGGGTCTGACACGGGTGACGTGGAAAGGGGCTGCCTCAGTCACCAACAACCCCGTAAAGCGCCCTCCGAGCCGGGCGGCTTCGTGGGGCGTTTCAGAGCCCGCTGGCAGCACCGCTGTCACGGGAGGGCTTCCTCCCCTCCAGTGAAGCGCTAGCAGCCTCCTGCTGTTACGTTTGCAAATGCCAGGCGTTCGGCTGCTCGCCACGGACTCCATTAGCCGACCGCACCGTCTGCAACCGCTTCTGCCGTCAGCAGCTGGACCACGCTGAGAAACGGAGAGGGGTCGGGCTCCTCCTCGCCGAGGACCAAGCTCTGCCACATCCCACGGCGTCGCCTTGAGGAAAGCGGGCAGGAGGGGCAGCGCTTAACCGTGGATCTGTGGAACCTGGGGAAGCATCGGAAAAGAGGCGCTCCGCTGGCACAGAGCTAAGCACTTGCACAAGGCCAGAAACCAGGTTGAGACGGGAAGGGCTCCCTGCACTAGCGAGGTAAATACTGGAGCGGGTACCGTGGAAGACTAAGTTTTCTGGATACAGATTAGGGAAATGCTCCTGATGGCATCTGGGAGCTGTTACTGCTGCTCCTCCAGCAGCCTCAGCGGGAGACGCTGCTATTTTCAATGCACTTCCAAGCAAGCCGATCGCTGGCACCGGGAGCAGATTCTGCTGGCAGCCTAAACAGAACCCGGCCCG